ACGGAGGAGTCACACTTGGTGCTTTCCCTCTCCTCCTGTATTTTTACATTTTCTCCATCAGGTTCCTTCAGTGAAGAGCCTTCACCACACCTCACCCAGGGCAGGGATGYTGGCCTGGAGCACACCACTCTTGCTGCTCTGCCCTGCCCAGTGGCATTGGAAAGGTGATGGAATTATGTTTTCTTGTTTGGGAAAAAAAAACWAAACAAAAAAACCMAAAAARACCCAAYGAAMGGGCTTATTTCTAATGCTTTGTGAGAGGACTCAGGTGTCCAGGAGTGGCGTGGGGGAGGCTGCTCTGCTGTGGCRCAGGCCTGAGCTGGGGGCAGGGACTTTTCTTTCAGCTGAGATGAAACCTCCCTTTGAGTGGAAAATTTAAAAAGCACTATAGGTGCTCTAAYAGCTCCTCAGCACCCCCAGGGTGAGCTGAGAGGGGGGAAAGCAGAGGCTGGAAGGTTTGGTGTAGAGCTTCGAGGTCCCTGAAGTGATGCAGAAATGGGGATGAAGGAAACACCACAATGCACTGCTGCTGTCCCAATTCCCCCGGGCTGAGCTGGTCCTGTCCCCATCCTGCCTCACTGGGAACTACACACCTTGCCAGCACAGAGCTGAACACAGGTTTCCGCAGCCCAAAAGCAATTTTGTGCCTTGGTACTTTTCCCACTGTTGCCAGCCTGACTCCTGCAAGGTGTCCCCGTCCCCGCTGACTCCAGGGCCAGCCCCAGTCTCCCCATCCGTCAGACCAGTGATTATTTTGTTATTTGGATTGCAGAGAGGCTGCGCTTCAGCTGGTGGAGGAGAGGATCCCAGGGCAGGAACAAGGGAAGGTGACATCCCTGAATAAACTGCAGCAGTGACCAACCCCTGAGCTGCTCCTTTTCCTGGCAGCGCTGGGGAGCACCGCACACTCCCCCAGTGCAGCACCCCTGATTTAAAGATGCCAAGTGCCTCCTGATTTAAAGGTGACACCTTCAGCAGCTCACAGCCCCCGTGACCTGCTGGCATTCACCCYCCGAGGGCAGGGCTGTGGGGTTCTGTGCTGGGGTGAGCCACAGACAATGCAGGTTTCTCCCTGGGGGCTTCTTTGTGCTTTGCCCGTCGCGACCCTTCCCGTGCACCCAAAACATTCATGGGGCACGGTCTGAGGGGTCCAGGGATGCTCGGGTCAGGTCACCCCACCTGCCCAGCTCACCCTGGAGCCAGCTCCGGCAGGGTGGAGCCGCTGGGGATTGCGGCTTTCGCTCTCCTGTGCGCGCAGTCACGATGGTTAGTTAAGTGGCTTGTTTTTCATTAGGAAAAGACTGTTGCTAGGCCACCCTGCTCCCCGGCGTCGGTCGGGAAGGGGTTTTGCAGCCAATCCGGGAGGCTGTGCCGGGGTTGGCACACGCACACATCGCGCAAACCCCTCCCGCAGCCCAGGTGCTAAGCGGCTGCCAGATGTGCCCGTTCATTTCCACATCGCACCTATCCGCTTCTTCCGGCCAAGCCGCTTATTAGGGCTCCTGAGATTTTAATTTGGAGTCGGCTGCGAGTTTTCTGCCTTCTAATTTACCCTCGGAGGGTAGAGGAGGGCGGGGGTGCAGAGGAGATGCGCCCTCCCTCTGCTGTGACTGGTTTGGTGAAACGCCCGAGTGAAGCCTCTGCTCTGTGGTGCAAACAGGGTGAACTGTCCCTTTGTGTCCCCACAGCGAGGGGACAGACTGCCTCAAGTTAGGGGCTTGCTCCGGGCTGTTCTTAGGTACCAGCATTGCTCCACCACAAAACATTTGCTTTGTGATTTTCAGGGATGTCCTGTCCAGCGCCAGGTGTTGGTGGATTCCTTCCAGCTCTGTGATTCTGTGATTTGGGGGTTATGTGGCACTGCAGCTGTCTGTACGGTGATAAGCAGAGCCAGCAGCAGAGCCAGGCAGGTGTTGGACCGSGGGATGCTGCTCCCAGCCGTGCTCCCCATGCAAACAGCCCCTGGCAGCTGGCAGAGCTGCTGGACCACGGCCAGGCACGGGGATGCAGGGCAGGAGGGTCAGAAACATCCCCGGCTCAGGGCTCCCGGTACAGCTGCTATTCTGGTGCTATTCTGAATACCCTGAGGGTGTCCAAAACCCACCCAGCACAATCCCTGGTGTGTGGACAAGGGAGGGAGTGAGCAGAGCCCAAGATGTSAGCAGGATGGAGCCTTTCACAGCTGCAAAGCTCTCACCATGGCAGGGTAGGAACAGACACCAAAACATGCAGGAAAAGGTGGACGAGCCACACAAGCCTCAGTTTCTGAGTGTCCCCATAAAAACCCCTGTGTGGCAGGAGAGGAGCTCAATAAAAAGCAAGAGAAAGCCCTGAATTGTGTCTGCTGCTCGAGGAGAAGCTGTTGCTAGACAGAAGAGAAAGCCGTCGCCATCGGCTCCCATTGGCTCAGCCCCACTCCAATGACGGCCTTATCGGTTACCTGCACTCGCAGCTGCCTGGGAAAAACTCATTTGACAATGTTTTCCCTCTGATAAAAAAGCCCAGTGCTGGATTCATGGGTTTGGGTTAATCATTGTTCAGGGTTGTTGAGATAACGGGTGAGTTTTCCGCAGATTCTTCAATTATCACAAAATTTAGCGTAAATGGTGAGCCAGCCCAGCTCTCCTTCACCCGCCTAAAGATGCTCAGCCTCACGACACGAGCTCCAGCAGGCTGCTGCTGAGGTGAGCCAGAGCGTGTGATGAGCTGCAGTTTGTTCAGCCATGGCAAACTCGGAGCTGGCGTGGAGGTGAATATTCACAAACACCTGTGAAAATCCCCGATTAGCTCTCAGAGGTGAAAATGGGGCCAGTGCTGCCATTTAGATTATTCAGAGCRAACGTCATTGGCAGGGAGCGGATTGCTGCCACCTCTAATCGTCCCTGTGGGGTTTGCTCAGCAGCAGCCCTGTTTTGGGGGGCTGCAGTGCACAGTGTTRGGGTTTTCCCAAACCCTTCAAATCTGATGCAAACAGGAATTGACCCTCAAATTTGTTTCTCACCTTCCTGGAGAGCTGGAGATCATGGCAAGAAGCAATGCTTGCGGGGCATGCCAGCACCAAAGAGCAGCTGGCCTTTGGCTGCCTGGTTCCCCCAAATTTGTCTCCAAAGCAAATATTTCAGCAGGAGGGTTAATTCAGTGAGGTGGCAATGGGGACAAGCTCTCAGAGGCAGCCTGGGAGTTTCCCGGTGTCTCACACTCAGTGCAAATCCTGTGCTGCCAGGAGGGCAGGCAGGCAGTGTCCARGTGGGCTGGGGGAAATCCATGGGGAGGAGGAAAGAGGCTGCCCTGGGTCACMGCGAGTGAGAAATTTGCCCCTTTACTGGAGCCCAGCCCTGCCTTCTGCTGGGAGTGGRGCTCACTGAAGTGTTTGGATGGTCAAGATTTTGGAAATGCTTTTTTCCCCCTGAATTGTGCCTTAGGCTGGTGGCAAGGCAGGCTGAGTCATGGGCTGACAGAGCCTTGTCCATGTTCACCCCAACACATCTGTGTCTCACATCAACCATCACAGGGTTTAGTGCAGTGGCACTGGGGGGCTGGAGGAGCTCAGCTTGGGGCTCAGGTGGACAAATAATTTGGGAGCCCTGAGGTGCCCCACACAGGCTCTCCATGAACTCATGTACAGCCCAGGGGGATGGTGGTTACTGGACTAGGTTATAGGGCCATGAGCAAAGCTCTGTCTGTCCCTTTTCCAGGTCTGCTTTCCCAGGAGCAAACACAGCACTGCTGCATCACTTTTGGAATGCCACCATCTACTGACAATGGCATGCAGAGCTTTCACCTTTTCTACAGCTTCACTTCCCTCCTGCCACCCTGGGAGAGGTAGAGACGGCAGAGAGGAGGAAGAGGACAAAATCCTGCACCAGCCGTGCTCCTCCTGCACCCCTGTGTGCCCTGCAGGGTTCAGTCCCTGCCACACCCCACCAGATCCTGCTGACATTGCCAAGCCCATCTAATCCCAGAGGGTGGTGCTGGCCCTGTTTCACAGCTTGCTGCACCAGGAACACACCTGGGACAAACTGGAACAAGCAGGATTTAAATGCCWTCCATGGGGCCACATTCCCTGTCCTGTCCAGACCATGAGCTCACGGCAGAGCCCAGGTTATCACGAGTTAAAGGATGGTTGTGTTCGCACCACTGTGAGGACAAAGATTTTTAAATGTGTCTGACACATCTCAAAGCATTTCTGAGCTGTTCCTGGCTTCCTGTGCCAGGCAGGGAGGAGTTAAGGTGGGAAGTGCAGGATGTGTCTGGTAATGGCACTGATGYGTGCGTCAGGTGTGCCTACGTCACCCGGCTGCCTTGGCTGCTTCCCAAGGCTGGGGCTGAGCTCTCCTCACCTTCCAGGCTGCTGGGGAAAGCCTGGGACAGTCCAGCCTGGCCGAGGGGGCTGTGGGCTCCATCCCAGTGCTGCAGCAGGCTCCCCAAAGTCTCCAGGGTGCTGGGGCCCTCCAGCCTCCTCTGCTGCCTCCTGTCTCACCACCCAGGCAGTGGGACTGTGCTAAAAGGAAGCTTCCAAGGGGAAAGAAAAATCATTTTTCTATAACCATGGCTGTTCAGTTCCCTGGGGAAACACACAGCTCCCCGTGTCCAGCCCCAAACCCCTCCCTGGTGCTCACACACATCTCTGCAGCCACAGGTCACCTGTGTCACCCACAGGCTGGGTCACTGCAGCTGAGATCACCCTGTGCCCACACCGTGACAGCAGCCCATGGCACAGCTCACCATTTCCATTCTGCTCTTGCTCCCAGACCCTGGCTGAGCCCATCTCCTGTTCCTCCCACCTCCAGATGTGTCCCCAGGGCAGAGGGGACAAGCCTGTACCCAAGGAACTACTTACTCCAGCCACTCAAAGCACCTTTCCCACTTGCAGGTGGGCTTTAAACCCTAGAACATGGCATGGTGCTTGGGCAGCTGTTTGCCACCCTCTCCCCTGCCCTCTCACTCTTGGAGAGCTGCCAGATCAAATCATGCAGAATATACACAAGGGTTTTAGCCAGAACAGTTTTTAATTCAGWACTGGACAATTATGTGAATAATTTATTTGAAACGAAGTGCATTCTACGCTCTTGTCCAGGCTGGACATTGATTAGACCCAGACYTTCTTCTTGGACTTCAKTGTGCAGTTGTATCCCTATAAATSTATGGGGTCTGATGGGATTCACCCAAGAACCCTCAAAAAGCTGCTGATGTCACATGCTCAACARTTTTTAAGCAGTCTTGRGAATCCAGAGATCCCAGCTGAGTGGAAGCTGGCAAATATTGCCCCAATTTTCAAGAAGGGCAAGGAGGATCCTGGAAACGACAGCCTGCCAGTCTCACTTCACTGACAGGTAAAATCATGGAAAAAAAAAAAATTCTGAGAGGTATTGAAAAACACCTGGGGAACAATGCAGTCATGGCTTTGTGAGGGCAAAGTCCTCCCTGTTGAAYCTGATTTCCTTCTACAGCAGGGCAYCCACCTGGCTGATCAAGGGACTCCAGGTGATGCAATCCTTTTGGACTTGAGCAAAGCTTTTGGTACCATCCCTCAGATTCCTTCTGGATAAAATGTTCAGTGCACAGCTGGAGCTGAGCACTCGAACAGGCTCTCCAGGAGGAGATGACAGCACCAAGACTGAGTTCAAGGTGCRTTTGGACAAAGCTCTCAGGCACATGGTGGGGTTCTYRGGGTGTCCTGTGCARGGCCAGGAGTTGGACTCAATGATCCTGATGGATCCCTTCCAACTCAGCACATTCTGTGATTCTATCAGTGARGAGCAAACTGGTTGTTTACTGGCCCCAGAAGGTTTGCAGCCTTTGGGAATCAGCAAAACACCTCAGTCCCTCCACAGGAAAACGTGCCCCTTGCTGTCTGGGAGAAGGACAGCCCCATGGAAGGCATGGAGGGTGTTGTGGCAGCCCCACTGCATGCCCACAGGGGCTCCTCCAGGCTGACACGGGACCCTGCTCATCCCCAAGTGACAGATGAACACAGCAGTCACAGCCCTTTTCTCTGTGCCACAGCTCGAGGCTGCAGACAGCGTTTYTGGGAGATTGCTGGTGTCCAGGTGTCACCATATCTCCATCCCTGAGTAGGGCTGGGTACCGGGCACAAGCCCCAGGGAAGGAGGTCAGCAATCACCTCCACCTTTAACAGCTGAAGGCACCAGGATGGCCTGACACACGTAGAGGAGACGCTGTCCCCATCACAGGCCACTYGCCATCAGGTCTGTGGGCCAGTACTGGTCATCCAGGTAGTGGCTGCTGTCTGCAGAGGGGTCTGTGACGGGGCTGGGGGGCCGGGGGGGCAGGCTGTGGGCCAGCTTCTTCTCCCACTGCACCTCCACCAGCCTGTACAGCTCCATGGCTGTCTGAGCGTCCTCCACTGATGAGTGTCCTTTGCAGCCAACCTGAGGAAAGGGGGAWAAGCCTCATTAGACAGAGAACTGCAAAAATCCCACAGGTCACGCTGTCTGCTTGCCTGGAAGGAGAAAAGTGTTGTGGGTTTTGGAGACAGCAAAGGTTTGATGCAACCAAGGAGATACAGGCATCTCTTCCACACTGTATGGAGAGCACAGGTCCTGTCCCCTTTTTACTGAGAAACTTCACRGTCAGCTTGGGAGGTCCTGGCCTCTCCCAACTCATTTATAACCAGGAGCACTGGGTGAACAAGGCTCCTCTCCACCTCACAGAGAATACAMATGGAGGTGGGAGAACCAGGCTGAYCACACAGGTTCAYARCCCCCAGGGTTGCTTCCATCTCAGAGCTSCTGGTGCTTACCTGGATCTTTTTATGGAGCAGGTGCCTGGCCAAGTTCTTGAGGGAGACATTGGCCCTGATGGGCAGCCCTGCTCTCTTCTTCAGCGCAGGGATCTGGCTGGTGTCTCGAGTCCTGTCTTTGGGGTGGAAGTACTTCAGGGCCTGGAAGTCGTTGTGGATGGCGTGTCCTACCACAATCTTGTCTTTCAAGATCTTCAGGATCTGGAAGAGTCAGAGTGGGTTAGACAGACAGCACAGCAAAAGAAACACCAACTAAGCATAAAATAAGCCATTTTGTGTTAAATTCTGCTCCTTTACTTCTAGATTTTAGGGAAGGAGTAGCAAGCAAACCAACCCACTGCGCAGCTTCAAAGGCTCCCCGTTCTGTGTCGAGTCTCTGCCTCCGATCAGCCTAGCAGAAGAAGGCCACCAAGAATCCCAATTTGTGCCTGTGTACCACAGCRTTTTTCTTTCTTTTAATTTCTTTTTTTCCTCACCTCTGCCTGGGCAGCCTTGAAGGGAATTGCATTCTTCATGTGCTGCTTGGTGATGCCGCTCCAGCGCGTCCGGTAGTCCACGACGGGGAGCTCGGGCTGGACATACTTGTCATAGATGACATCCCCCTCGTAGTTCACCACGGAGCACCGTGCCAGCTCGCTCAGCCTGCCCTGAGGACCCGTGCCCACCATCTCACAGTCGATGGCCACGTACTTGCCCGGGCGCAGCACCAGAGAGGACGTCCGCACCTTCTTGGAGCTGGCACTGCCCTGGGACAGCAGCACGGAGTGGTGCCTGGCTATGCTGTCCGGAGAGGCATTTGGAGACAGGGATGTGGAGACGGTCCGTTTGGGCACGGGGACCTTGTGGCCAGTGGTGCCACTGGCCTTGGCGAGTGTGGTGTGTGCCTCGGGGCTCTGACCGCCYGGGCACCCACGGGGGCTCAGCAGCCCCTTCTGCTCCAGCAGCGCCCGGCGCTCCATGAACCGCTGGTGTTTACGGCTCTTCTTCTTGCTGCGACCTTGAGGAGAGCTGGGACCCTTCGGGGCCTGAGCGTGGCCCCCCGCACTGGGGTCATGGGTGCCGTATAGGGTGGGCACAAACACCTTCGGGGCGGGCAGCAGCGGTGTCATCTGCCCTTTGCCGGGTGGCATTCCTGCGGGAGGAGGTACAGAGGGTATGAGTGCCATGCGGACCCCATGTTCCCCTGTCAAACACGGACGCGCACACAAACAGCATCTATGGGGCGGGGGAAGGGGACGCGGACACACTGTCACACCCCGTCCCCACGCCTTTACCCCCTCATTACCCGCTCCCACACCACCCCATTCCCGGTCCTAGGGTCGTGCCCACTCCCTCGCCGCCCCGCAGCCCCCTGCCCACCCCACACCCCACCACCCACCCTGCCCCCGCCATGACGCACTCCCTCCCTAGGGCCCTGCCTGCCCATTACTCAGGCCGTGTCTCCCTCGCTCCAGGCGCCAGCGCCCTGCCCGCCCCGTTACCCATCCCCAGGGCCCTGCAGACCCCACTGGGCCCCTGTGGTCACCGCCAGCCCCCCGCTGTCCCCGCTGTCCCCCCGCTGTCCCCCCGCTGACCGCTCCCGCCGCTCACACGTGTCCGGCCCGGAAGCCGCCGCGCGCACATGCCCGGGCAAGTCCCGCCAAGGCCACGCCCCCTTCCTCTCCCATTGGCTGTTTGGGGCGGCTAATCTGCATATGGGGCGGGGCTTCGGCTGTGCTCCGGGGTTTGGGTTTTTTGGGGTTTTTTTTGGGTTTTTTTGGGTTTTTGGGGAATCGCGGAGCGGCGCATCCGGAGCTTCCAGCTCACACCGGGTGATGCTCAGGGCTTCGAGCCTGTGCCACCTCTGTCCCTGGGAGCAAGGGACCCTTTGTGGTGACTTTGGGCTGAGATGCGTGCTGGAGTGCACAGCTCCACGCCGATATTCTGCAGTTTTCCYGTTCCTGACCCTATGGGCATCCCTTGTCCTGCAGGTGAGGTGGGCTGAAGGGGTTTGCATCCTCCAGGCTCTCCCAGGCTTGTCGGGGGCAGCTCCGGCTGGGGCACGGTTGAAGGTGGGTTTTCAGACCGGCCTCTCGTTGCTTCACTCTCAAGGCTCACGAAAGCAATGTCCGAGGTGGTCAGAAGTGGAGAAGGGTCGCAGGCAGCCCCAGCCACCGGCTTGTCCCCCTGCATTCAGCGTCGCTGCGGAGGCCGTGTGCCCTAGGGCAGACTGTGACTTGTTGTGGTGGGATTGAGCCATACAACAACAAAATCACTAGTCTTCCACAGGGAACGAGGCACCGGGTCCATCCTCATCCTGCTGGGCCTCTCTGGGAGCATTCCCTCTCCCTGCCATCCATGGGGCTCACAGGGATGCAGGAAAAGTGTTTTCACCCTCCACCATTCTCCCTTTTCACGACCCRCTAGCTCCTCTAGCCTGGTCAGAAAGGAAAGATTTGGATTATCCTGCGATTTATTTCTTCATTCTTTTACGTTTTTCTTTTGGTCAGTAAACCTCTTCCTTAAATCAGTTGCTCTGTGTTTGGCATCTGTTGCTTCTGTCCATGCTATTTGGCTAATTAATCTCCCTTTAATGAGAGTCATTCAGGTGTCTCATAATACCTTGCTAGGGATCCCTGTCAGGTGCCTATGTAGGAATTTATACTCTTTTCTGGTGTTTTTGGTGTATTTCAGCTCTTGGGGATGGTTCATTTGGTAGAAATCATGGCATATGGGGAGGAAGGGAAAAGCTTTTTCTCCTGCTTTCCAAAGTGGCCAGGCTTGGGAAACCAGATACTCCAGGATGCAAGGGAACAGTGCATCAGATCCCCCTACCCCACCTCAAAGATGGAGGTGAAAAAATTCCAAATATCCTTGAAAGAAAAGTCAAAATAACTTTGAAAGTGTGCTGTGSTCCCCTGTGATTCCACTGACCCCTGGGTCATCAGGAGATGGTTCCCCCAYGATAGATGTTACTCCCTTTGGTAAAAAAACCTTGTGCTGAACAGGGGTGGTACTCACCTCCCCAAGGTCCTGGGGCCATGCTGGGGATGGAGGCTTGGGCACCAGCTGGTAGAAATCCTGATTCAGATGTGGCAGATGAGCTGAGATGAAGGCAGAGCGCGCCAGAGCCCAGGAGAGGTTTCGGCGGTGTTTGCACAATTTGAAATAATAACGAAATCTGTAAAACTCTGGGTAGAGCACGACTAGAATAACAGGCTAAATTTGTCAGATGAATAATTTACTASAAGTGATTGGCTGTGCTCCAAGTGAGCCGAGCACCAGCCTGGTCTCAGGCTGAGCAGCCCGGGTGTCTCTGTCCTCGGCTGGAGCTGGTCCCTCTCCTGCCACCTGCTCACTGCTCCTGCCCTAAAAGCTGGTTTCTAGATGAGGTACCTTTCCCCAGATCACAGCCCGAGGCTGCAGGGATTCCCACAGAGCTCCTGGTGCCCTCCAGAAGGTGTCTGCTGTTTGTTTTCAACCTGCTTCTGGTGGCAGTGGGTGTCTGCCCCTGGCTCCAGGCTCGTGGACTCACCCATCCTCTGCCTCTTTCCCCCCTCCAACCACTCCTCTGTCCTCAGCCACGGTGCAGGATGGAAGAACAGACACACCTTGCCATTTGGGATGGGAAGGGAGATGRAGCCCCAGTGCCCAGAGGAGATGGCGACTGCAGCCTCAGCAGCCAATTAACGTGATCATGTTTATGAATGCGGATCAGTAATTCCAGGTAAACTCCCCAAGAGCAGTGCTGCAGGCGAATAAAGCCTCCTGCCCACCCGAGAGCCTGCCAGCAGGCCCTGCCAGTGCCAGCACACTCCTGCTGTGATTCTAAACTGCTTCATTTCCTCGWGCCAGCCTGGACACGCATTGTTTTGTCTCCTGTTACCTCAATGCCAGAGCTCTTCTTTGCAGCGTTGGTTGCTCCATCTCCTCCTGGACCTCTCTGTTCCCTCCCTGCCAAGGGGGATGACTGGTGGGAATGGGATAGATTAACTCAGAAAAGGCCCAGCTTTGCCTCCAGGGGTGATGAGGGATCAATTCAACATCCTGGGCTTTGCAGGCTGCCTGGTGCCTCCCCATCACCCACCTGTGAGCAGGGCTCCCTGAGCTGCTCCTGCCACTCTGAGCAGCTCTAACAGAAGCTGTGAACCTACACAAATAAGTTCGGACAGTGACCAGTTCCTTGCTGGACCTGGCTTCCTTTACAGAATTTCATCAAGAGGGAGCACCTGGAAACACCAGCACTGGAGGGACCAGCTCRGGCAGCCAGTGCCACCTGGCTGAAGTGTCACCAGCCTGAGGCYACCAGCACGAGGACATCAGAACTGACAGACACCCTGTCACTCCCTGGCCTTTGCCCTGATGGTCTCAGAGYCCTGCAGCCCCCTTGGTCCRTTGGAGTGGCCCAGCACCCTGTGGGACCCCTCCATCGCCGTGCTGAGCTCCCCATCCTGTGCAAAACCTCCAGGAGACTCCATCCCTCCTGGCTAAGGATGGGGATGGAGCTGAGCACACCTGCTCAGCCTTGAAGATTACCCAGTGCTTGGAAGGCAGAAAACCTTTCCCCTGGAGCACCAAGAGCCTCCCTATTCCTCTGACATCTCCTCCAACATTCCGTGGGAATTGCCTGCATCCCTCCAGCATGGACAGATCTCCAATCATATCCTGGAAGGTGTCAGTGCTCCGGGGATGCTGCTGGGGCTAAGGAGGAATGGATTCTCCCAGAGCAGGAGCTGAGGGATGGCTGATGCTGCCATCCATCTCCCCATTTCTGGCTCGCCCCCAGGAGAGCAGAGAGCAATTACGGTCCACGCGGAAGCTTCATTATTGCCCTGTCGTGGCCTCGTTTGATGAGATGTTTTATTGCCAAACTTATTAAAAGTGAAACGTGCGCTTTCTGCGCAGCAATTTCCTGTCTGCAGCGATAAGCCGGGCTCTGCCCGCTGTGTAATAAACAGTTATTTTTATGTACAGCTCTGGCTGGGGCGACAAGGAAGGGAGAGGGCCTGGCTGGTGTTAATTGCGATGGTWAATGGGATCTGTACTGGGAGGAGGTGCATGCCCTTCCCCTGCCGTGTTCTGTGACAGAGGTGGCCTCTGGTGGTTTCGTGCTCTGGGTGGGGAYTGTGGGGATCTCGGGAACAAGAAGAATTATTGTGAAAGCCCCTCACCTGCCTCCTGTCAGCCCTTCATCACAACCTGAGCAAATGAGGGACCTGCTGCGCACCCTCCTGGGGTGAGACTCCATCCCTGCAAGGGCTGCCCCTGAACTCCATTGATCCCAGTCCTGTAGGAGGCTGGAGGGAGCTCCAAAACCTGGGAGCTTCGCTTCATCTTCCCCAGATCCTCCCATTCTGCCYGAGAACCTCTCTGTCTGCAGTAGAATTTGCCTGGAGCATCCACCACGTCACTGCCACTGTCCCTCCCTGGATGCCCGCAGCAGAAAGGTGCTGGAGAGCAGACAGTGAATTCAGGAGCAGTAAATTCAACAGGCACACTAATGTCACAGAAAATCTGTGTCACTGCTGAGCTTGGAGCAGGAAAACTCTGATAAATATCAGCAAATCTGATAAATATCGTTTAATTTTGTCAGAAACAAAATGTCCTCATTAGGTKTGCGATCTGTATTTTGGTTTAGTTACATCTTTTAAACACGTTTTTGAAAGGAAAGCTTTTTAAAATGCAAGATGTCAAAACTGCATTTACAAAAATCCTGATTGCCTTTTTTTTTYCCTTTTCCAGACCTGGCCAAAGCCATTAGTTCAACTCAAGCTGAAAGTGCATAACTTCCCCCAATAAACAATTTGTCAGAAAAATTCCTCCTGGCTCTGGGAGATCTGTTTGTTATTTGTCAGCAGTCAAAACCCTGTTGGGTATTTCCCATCTGACTTCTTTTCTTAACAGCATCTTTATTGGTCTGGGAATTAACAGCGGAAGATGCGATACTTGCTATTCATTGCAGTCATCCCAAATGCCGCTCATCTCATCAGGCCACGGCTCCACAAAGCAAAAATCCCCTCTCCTTTCTCCAGTGCACCATTTTTGGGTAACCACGGGGGCATTTTATCCCCAATTTCCTGCCTTCATCCTCCTGATCCCGCAGTGTGTGCTGGTATCCCCGGGTTTGGAGTCACATCCCCATCTCCTGCATCCATCCCMATCCCTGCTGCCCCTCTCAGCCTCTCGCTGGGCAAAATCCCTGCACTGCCAGCTCGGGCCCTCATTAATTTGTATTGCAGCGTGTGTCGCGGGTTGACGTGTAATTAGAGCTCCTGAAGCCTGTCTCATGCTGTAATTGCCATGACAGGGGCCACAGCATATCCGCTTGTTAATTAGTAAACCACAATATCCCGGGGGCTCGTTGAGAGCCGCCTTAATTGTATTTCAGCTGGAACAGAGGGATAATTACCCTTTGCTAGCACTGCCACTTTTAAATTCTTTAAAAAAAAATAAAAAAAAAAAAGAAAAGGAAAACCCAAATCGARCTGCTACTTCTCTTGGCTGCCCAGKAACCTGGTTTTGTGTCCAGGGGAAGGGCTGTGGAGCTCAGCAGAGTGGGAACAGGATACCGAGAGATTTTCACGGGGATGCACTCAAACTGGTGGTGGCTGAGCTGCCCCTGCTCCAAGGTTTCTTCGGTGTCCCTGCACATGGGAATCTCATTTGTG